AAAAAATCAGGCCTGTACGGGACTCGAACCACTGACCTCTGCGATACTAGTGCAGCGCTCTACCAATTGAGCTAACAAGCCAACTGGGAGCAGGCCGTTAAGTTGATTCGTAATAAACCCGTGAACGTGATATCTCATTTATCACTTTCACGTTTCAAGTTGATTCGTAATAAACCCGTGAAAGTGATATCTCATTTCAACATTCCTTTCTTATAAACCCTAATTATAAATATCTCGTTTAGATACGCTGGAGGTGATTTTATGAAATCGATACGGGAATTTTTTTTTGTTTCCAACAACGTATAGAAAAGTAGGTTTGAAGCTTTTTGTGGCACGATTCCTGTCAAACTTCTCTTGGTGGTTATCATCCCAGTCACCACAAAGCTGAGCCGCTTCTAGAAGATTATCTTTTTTCGGATGTTTGCCGATATTTTTAGCGTTTTGCTCTCCTACTCTCTTCTCTTTTCTCGATCTTTAGTCTATTCTTTCATTTCATGGCAACGTTGTTAAAACTAGGTGTATCTAATGGAGACCTCTTAGATCAAAACAAAATTTTTTTTAGTTGACGTCTTTCGTGACGCAATTCACAACGAAGCTATTTATGTAACATATGATTTATGTTCTAGAAATAATTAATGAAAAGTTTGCCAACATGTATTTTTACATTCCTTCGAAGGAGAGTACTCACATGCACCTCAACTTGAGAAACAAGTTGAAGCTCGCGGTTTCTAATCAAAATGGACAGGATGTTTGAGATCCTTTAATGCCCCCAACTTTGGGCATTTATATTGAATAAAGTAAATATAAGCCAGATTTCTGGAAGGTTCCGCCAAAGGTCACGGTAGACAAAGCCAAATTAGGTAAATTAGGTATTAGTAAGTTAAACGCTGATGTCAGTCGAAAATAGAATTGTTAAATAAAACCTATATATAGAAATCGAACATTGATTTTTCTGAACTAATTCGTTGGAACTTAAATAAAGACGAGGGAAATAAAGGAACCTGAAAGGTAAACAAAATTTTATATATCTGCTATGTTCTTGCAATGCGGAGCGATATGATTTTCATTTCATAAGTTCCATAAGCGTTTGAGTCACATCTATGATACTTGTTTACTTGCAATAGAGGCCACGTTTTAAGATGTTAAACCAGAGGTTACCACTTATTAAGTTGTTTTAAAAAAATTAGACACCGACGGGCTGCGAAATTACCAATCGTTAAAGTCCCATTACCTGAATTTGTAATTCCTTTCACCATGCGTATTGAAGGAGTGTTTCAAAAATTTGAAAGGTCTGGCATTCTTGTCTTCTTCACTTCTACTCTTTTCGATACCACTAACGCAATAATTTGCGCAGTAAAGACCCATTGCTTGGAAAGAATAGAATGTCTTCGTCTCTGTGACAACAGTTCCTTCTTCTATCTACTTTTTTCGGCGAATAAGTAGAATCACAAAAGACCGTCACGCAACGTCCTGTTCTCCACGCAGCAGCAACGAGACCAAATAACGGCTGCGAAGGAGACTAAACCCTAGGATGTTGGACTCATCATCCTTGTTTTTAAGAAGCCAATCAGACAAATTGTTAGTGTGTTCAAAATAAAAAATTCCCAGACGCTGATGTCATCACCGGAAAGAAAGCATTGGGAAATTTGGTTTTGAATGCCTTGTATCTCAGCTGAAAGACATTGACCTTATGTCAATACATCATTGCAAATCACGATGACGAACAAACTGACTTAGGTTTCAGTTGAAAAGTAACGCCCCAAACTGAGATGACAGACATAAGGTCACTAAGGTGCGAAATTGCAGAATACCAAAATATCAAATTATCTGTGAGATTCTGAGATTTTGATATTATTATGATAACTATATCAAAATATCAAAGAACAGTGAGATTTTGAGACGTTGATATTGCCATGATATTATTTTGATATTATCAAACAATTTTGATATATCAAAGTATCAAATTAACTGCGAGATTCCGAGACGTTGATATTATCATGATATTATTTGATATTATCCAACTGATTGTTGTTACATCAAAGCCAACATTTAATATTATGATACCGTTATCGATATTAATATTATGATATTCTGATATTATCATGATATATCAAAATATCAAACCTTTTGTTACTTAGTCACATCTGGGCCAACATTTGATATTATGATATCGCTATCCATATTTTGATATCATCCTGATATCCTGATATTATCATGATATATCAAAAACTTAAGTCCTTTAACGCAGTCAAATCCACGTCAACATATGATATTTTGATATTAGCGTGACATTCTGATATTATCATGATACACATAGTCACATCCAAGCCAAAATTTGATATTATTATATCGATATCGATATTTTGATATTAGCATGATGTTCTGATAATATCAAAATATCAAGCCCTGCAACACTTAGTCATATCAAGACCAACATTGGTGTTATGATACCGCTATCAATATCCTGATATTATCATGATATTCTGATATTATCATGATATATCAAAATATCAAGCCTTTCAACAATTAGTCACATCCAAGCCAACATTTAATATTATGATACCACTATCGAGTTTTTGATATTATCGTGATATTCTGATATCATCATGATATATCAAAATATCAACCCTTTTGACACTTAGTCGCATCTGGGCCAACATTTGATATTATGATAAATCAAGCCATTTAGCAGTGGGAATATCAAAATATCATAACCTCTTATCAAATATGATATATCATTATATTATCACTAAAAACTGCAAGAAATGAATGACAAAAGTTTTGGCATATCAAAAGTGATAGCAAGGATTGATATTATGATATTCTGAAATATCGCACCTCATTCCATAAGGTCGTACGCGGATATTAGCGGATGTTTAACACAATTTTCAAATGCGAAGTAGACTACGAGCAGTTCCTCTTATTCGGTGAAATCCGCCGCGCTAGTCGAAAAGAAATCCACTTAAAAAAAAATTTGACGTTAGCGCGCCGCGGAGGTTCTAATTTTGACTTGCGCACCGCGAGAACTCCATGAGTCAGGCGTTCCCAATGAAGCTCCCGAGGTTCCCACGGCGCGACGCGCTAACGTCAATTTCCTTTTCCGGGCGGGGGATTTCGTCGAAAAGGAATGACTACTCTTAGTCTAAATGCAGGTCTACCACAGTGACAGCTAGAGAAACGTTCACGAAATGAGGATTTTCTCGAAGGGCCATTTGTTTTCACGTTGTCTAAAGGTAGCACGTCTCCCTTTCTGGAAATGCATGAGGAAGTTGCGTTCCAAGGTCTTCGCAATCTCTCGTTGCATGAGCGAAATACACCAAGTGCGATGATGATTTTAGCGGAAGATTTACGGTTCTTGCAATTGCAGCGTTCTGTGGTTTTCATGGATTTTATGGGCCTGGAGTTTGGATTTTATTCGTGAAAAAGCGTTTGTGTGTGTGTGTGCGTGCGTGCGTCCGTTACTGTTTTTTTCCTTTTTACTACGGACAAGACTCATTGATAGCGAATGTGACGCAATAGGGAAATAGTAACGCACCATGACCAGGAAGCTGTGACATATTGCAAGTAGACTACAAGCAGTCCCTCCTTTTCGGCGAAGTGAAAAAAAGAAAAAGAAAAAAAAATTGGTATAAGCCGGCGCGTCGTGGGAAGATCTTGGAGTAACGAAAATAGGGTGGGGGGAATCCTCGTTCCGGGTCTTTCGGGGTTTTATGCGACTGCTTAAAACAGGTTTGACTGTTGATCGTTAATGTTAATCTATCATTTATCAATGCAGCATGTGTGCTCTACCAGAATATATGCCTAGTGTATGGGCTGCAATAAAAAGTTAAACGATCAAGAAAGACCGATGATCTTCGATTGGAATTCAATTCTTTTCAAAGATTGACCAAGGTAAGTACATCCATTTATGGGATTTTTGTCAAGTAAAAATTTTACGGCTAGTACGTGCTATTTACGTAAATCGTCATTAAATTCCCAACGACACAAACCAGCTTGTGAAAGTACTGAGGGTGCTGCTCATGTTTAGCGACAGTTTTCCGTAGCGAACTGATCACTGAGATATTTCATTTTTTCGTCACTCGTCTATTGCGAAATTATCACTGAAACTTGCCCACAAAGGGGGATTTTATTTTTTCAAAATCAGACTGACATAGCTGTTATCGTGATATCGGAAGCCTTCCTATCGCACATCCGCATCGAACGGTTTATTCACAACATGACTTGATAGCGTTTCATCAGGCGATCGTTTCTTTCTTTCGAATTCTGAAGTGTCTGAAACAACTACAGCACGGGAGAAAAGAATCTATACTTTTAATTGGTCAAAACACTGAAGACGAAAATGGTTACTTTACCGAACCGCTACTGAAACTGTTTTTATAGATGTTGTTTTTAACTTGTATCACCTTTCAAATTAAAAGACATACTATACAAATTTTCCTATGAATTCTATTGTGAATATATGTGTGAAGTTTATATTTTAGACTTATCATGATTTCGTTGTACGGAATAGAATAGTTATCGTTTTCCCAGTAACTTGGATTTATATTGCTCTTGTTTTCAATGATCGATGGACTAGCTGAGGCATCCGAGGTAACAGATTTCCCATTATAAACATTTTAGTGCCACTTTCTTTTATGCGAAGAAGAACTGCGACTGTACATTACTTTTTCTTCTCTATAAATCTTTACATTGTGCGGGTAAAATGTTAGTATCTTTCAAGAACAATCTCCGAAAAACTGTGCTGAAAAAAGAAAAAAAAACTCACAATGCTGAAAAGCAGGATTGAAAAGAAACATAGCTGGAGATCGAGGGTTCGAGCCCCGGCCAGACCAACACTAGTGGTTTTAAAATAACTGAGGAGAATGTGCTAC